CTACAGGAGGCAACACACTCAGGCATGGCAGGCACCTCACCACGCCGAAGCACCCCCTCCAAAACGGCAGAACCCGCGTCCCCGGGAGCCGGTAACACATCCACAGGCGGGGGCGGAACATGAACCTCCACCGGGACACCTTGCACTACACACAGCTCAGGCGACAGCCCGACACCCTCACACACCGGCTCAACAACCCCAGGGGCCACAGCTGGCACGAGACGTGTCGCACAGGCCGTAGAGCTCTTCTCAACAGGCAGAGCAGCAGACAGGCAGTCAGGCGCCTCAGGCACAGCACCCACACCGCCCGAACGCAACAGGGGCGGAAAATCCTCTGCACAAAGAACATGCACACGACCAGTCGCTCCCACGTCGCACGCAGCAGCCAGATGACCCTCGTGACCACACCGATAACAGGTGCGCGGTTGACCCCGGTACTGGCAGCGGAGCGTGTATCCCAACACGGACATCGACGACGGTACACTACCCTTCAGCGACATCGTCAGGGTGCGGGAGCCGTCAAGCATACCAATACAGTGCCCGGCAACGACCTTGTTCCAACGAACACTCAACACTGTCCCAAACCGTTCGAAACAGGAGGTTAAAAAGTCGTCCTGAAATTCAAAGGGGGCACCATGCACCGTCACAGACGTCAAGGTGACACTAAGATTCACTACCTTAACGGAGCCAGCAGTATCAGGGAGAGGGTAAACACGCCCCTCACACCGCTCGAGAAACGCCTGAAAGGCAGCCTGGAGACGGAACTTGACCACAGCACGGTGGCCCTGAAGCAGCTGGATGCCCACCAGGTCAGACAGCTGCACCTGCAGCACGTCCACTAGGGCGACACCAACCAATGGATGGTCCACCAGCACCGTAAACGCCAGACCAGCTGACAGCGTCCTCTGCAATGGAGGGCGAAACGTCCCCATGGCGAAGCAAACGTCACCCCGTCAGTGGCAAACCACCACCAGCAGGGCAAACAAGCGATCACCCAACGTAAACACCAGCCAGTGCGGATAGACCTCAGGAACGTCCGACCCGGCCGGCGGTCACCATGCAACGCAAAACACACAAAGAACATTGTGAGAGGAACGTATGCACCACTTTCCAACTTCAGACTTGACTTGCTTTTAATTATATGGATGATGAAATGCCAAAGAAACTGTTCATGACTTTTGTGAGGCCAAATTAGGAATATGCAGCAGTTGTATGGTGCCCACATCTCAAGAAGCACATAATGAAACTGGAAAAGGTCCAACGGCATGCTACAAAATGGCTTCCGGAACTGAGAAACAAAGAGTTACAAGGAGAGACTAGAGGCATTAAATGTGCCAAAACTAGAAGATAAAGAGGTGATATGATCACCACTTACAAAATACTATCAGGAATCGACCAAATTGATAAAAAGGAATTCCGGAAGCCAGCAACATCACGAACAAGAGGACACAGATTCAAGCTAAAGAAACAAAGATACCAAAAAAATATTAGAATGTTTTCTATTGCAAACAGAGTGGTAGACGGAACAAGCTAAGTGAGAAGGTGGTGGAGGCCAAAGCCGTCAGTAGTTTCAAAGTGTTATACGATAAAGAATACTGGGATGACGGTTTGTTCCATTTATTCCCCCCCCCCGAGTGTCCAGCTTTCTCCTCCTGTTCTTAAACATCTACTGGACTCCTTGCCGGAGCCTGTGCTTCTGCTAGGTGATTTCAATTGTCAACATAACCTTTGGGGTAATGTTTTGATAAACACCCGAGGTTGCCTTCTTGAACCGTTCATCCTCTCTTCTTCCCTGTCTCTTCTGAATTCTGGTGAGCCCACTCATTTGGACTCTCGGACTCACTCCCTTTCCTATCTTGATCTTTCTCTTTGTTCGTCTTCCCTTTACTTAGATTTCGGGTGGCGGGTTCTTGATGACCTCCATGGCAGTGACCATTTTCCCATCCTTGTTTCCTTTTTCTCTTTATCACCCTCCCGGTGGCAGTTTGCTGAGGCTGACTGGCCCCTCTTTACCGTCCGTGCTACTATCTCCGACCTTTCCATTCTGCCTCTCCCTCACGCCCTCCTTTTTTATGACACCGTCTTCGACGCTGCCCTCCGCTCTATTCCTCGCTCTTCCTCTCAAGAAACGTGGAAGTGCGTTCCCTGGTGAAATGTGGACTGTGCTCGGGCTATTCGCTGTAAGCGTGCAGCCTGGAAGAGACATCGTTGCCGGCAGATGCCTGAATCTTTTCTTTTGTTTCGGAAGGCAAGTGAGGTGGCCCGTAGGACCATCTGTATGGCTAAACGTGCATGTTGGATGTCTTATGTCTCCACCATCATGTCTGACACTCCTCTCCTGCTGATCTGGAAGCGTATTCACAAGATAGCAGGTAAGTTCGTTCCCGATGTCTTCCTGGTCCTTCACCTCGGTGGTACTCATGTGGAGGACCCGTTACAGGTCGCAACCAAATTGGATTTCCACTTTTTGTCTGTTAGCTCTGGTTTTCATCTCCCCCATTCCTTCCTTCTTCGTAATCCTCTTCTTGAATCTTGTCCTTTTGATTTCTGTACCTATCTCTGCCTTCCCTATAATGATCCCTTCTCTATCTCTGAGCTCCAGTCTGCAATGGCCCTCTGGGGTTCTACGGTGGCAGGCTCCGATGGCATTCATTATGAGATGCTTCGACATCTCCCTCCGTGCTCGTCTCGGTATTTACTGAGTCTGTTTATTTGGGTCTAGGAATCATCGTCAGTCCCTGAGGACTGGCTCGACGCTGTTGCCCTACCTGTTCGAAAACCAGGGTCTCTCAGGTCTTCCCCCAAGGACTTCTACCCTCACGAGTTGTGTCTGGAAGATCTTTGAACGTATGGTTAACGTTCATCTAATGTGGTTCTTCGAGCACTATCACCTCCTTTCCCCTTCTCAATTTGGTTTTCACTAATGCCGAAGCACAACAGATGTCCTGGTGAACTTGGAGGTCTATATTCGTACTACTTTTGCTGCGAAGACCTCCGTTGTTGCCGTCCTTTTTGACCTGGAAAAGGCTTCCGACACTACCCGGCAGTATCATATTCTGTCCCACCTTCATTCTTTTGGCCTTCGTGGGAATCTCCTTCTCTTCCTCCAAAGTTTCCTCTCTCGTCGTTCCTTTCGAGTGAGGCTCGGTACCACTCACTCTGCCCCTTTTCGGCAGTATGAGGGTGTGCCCCAAGGTAGTGTCCTGAGCACTACTATTTTTCTTGTTGCTCTCAATGGTCTTCTTTCCTCCTCCTCCTTTCCTCCGCCTTACTTCCTTCTGGCGTCTTCTCCGCTCTCTATGTAGACGATCTTACCCTTTACTGTCGGAGTGATGATTCGCCTCTCCTTCAATGGCGGCTTCAACTTGGGATTGATGCCGTGTTGTCTTGGGCCACCGATCATGGCTTCAAGTTCTCTGCATCTAAGACTTGTGCTATGACTTTTACTCGGAAGTGTGTCATTCTTCGTCCATCTTTGTCTCTTTATGGACATCCCATTGTGTACAAGAATTCCGTTAAGCTTCTGAGGTTAATCTTTGACACTCGTTTGTCTTGGTCAGCCCATATTTCTTACCTCCGCGCTGAATGCTCTAAGGCCTTTTCCCTCCTTATGGTTTTGTCCCATACTTCTTGGGACCCCAGGGCAGATAGGTGTACGCTCCTCTCTACATTCCTCACTCGTCTTGTCTAAACTCGATTTTGGTTGATTAAGGATTTTGGTTGCCCTGCTTACTCGACTGTTTCTTCTTCTACTCTTCACCGTCTTGATGCTTTGCACCATGCTGGCTTGCGCCTCAGCTCTGGTGCTTTTCGTTTGACTCCCGCCCTCAGCTTGTATGTTGACGCTGGTTTCCTGTCTATCCAGGACCGCCGTGATCGCTACTGTCTTCGCTATCTGGCGCAGTCCTTGCAACATCCTTCCTCTCGCCTCTGTCGTGCTTTGACTTTTACCCCTCCTGTAGTTCCTGTTCCTCTTCACCACCTCCCTCTTTCTGTCTGGCTATTTCACTTACAGGTCTCTCTTTCCATTCGTCTTTCTCATATTTCTCCTCGTATTGTTCCTTCCTTGCCCGCATGGAGGGTCCCCCTTCTGAAGTTTTGTACGTCCTTGACTCACATTACAAAAGCTTCTACTCCTCCAACGGTTCTGAAACGCCTTTTTCTTGAGCATTTTTCTTCACACTCCTGCTCCGTTTCCATCTTCACCGATGGGTCTAAGTCCGCGGATGGTGTGGGCTACTCCGTTGTTTTTCCTGACCGCACTTATATGTGTCGCCTTCTTTCGGAGACTAGCATCTTCACAGCAAAGCTTTATGCTATTCTCCATGTTCTTCGTCTCCTGCTTTCTTGTTGTCAAGATTGTGATTGTCGTTGACTCTCGTAGTGCCCTCATGGCTCTCAGGTCCTTTAATCCTGTCCATCCTGTTGTCGTCGAGATTCAACATTAGCTGTTTCTTATCTCTAGTAAATTTAAATCCGTGGAGTTTTGCTGGGTTCCCAGCCATGTTGGTGTTTTTTTTAATGAGCGTGCGGATGCTGCCGCTAGGGAGGCTATCCACTCTTGTCCCATTTCCCGTAAAGGTATTCCTTTTTCCGACTTTTATCCGGTTATTCATTCCTCTAGGACCGCCCCTCGCAGTCACTTGTCCCTCGATAGAATTCTTGGTGAATCGGATTTGTTTGATATCGTTTGCCTTGTGCATTTCTGTTCTCGTATTGGCATCCTTGGTGATATTTAGCTCCTTCTGATTATTCCGCACATTTGATGGTGCTACATAGCTTTCCCGGTTTGGTGCCTTCTTTTTTATAATTACTTACTGGGATGACGGTACACCACAAGTGTAGCTCTCATCCTGTAACTACACTTAGGTGATTACACACAGTATGTATTTCTGTATTATAAAGCCACTAATTATGAGCAGAGTGTCAGGCATATCTTAAAGTTATGAGTGTTATATTGTACATTTTTGTGGTAATACCCAATATTCTGAATTTTACAGATGATGAGGAAGCAGAGGAAGCAATTTGGACGACCGAAGAGTGTCCAACGTTGCATAGTTTGTCGAAAAGTATTTTCCAGCCATTCATTACTGATTATGCATATGTGCTTTCATTCAGGAGAAAATTCATTTCATTGTACATCTTGTGATTACCGCACTGCATTGTTTAACACCATAAAGACACATGTCCTGCTCAATCACAAACGACTAATAAATGAGAGTGAAGGTAAACGGCACCATGCCTCAGACATTTGCCCTAGCCAGGTCTCTGAAAATCCTGCCAAAATTGAGAAATTTGATCATCTGTAAGACAACATAAAACATGATGACCTTAATGTAGAAATTTATGGCAAAATATAAACAGTCTGTAAAATTGATTACTGATGTAGTTGATTCGTATGTTTCATAATGAGTTGTTAGTAATAGAAATTTTTTTCGCAATTTTGATGGATTTTATTATTTTGTAGTTCAGAAAAGCCTAATTGGTGACATGTGAAGTCAATGTAAAAACTCAGAATGAAGCACCCATAAAAGTTGAGGAAAGGAATTAAAGTGACTTTTGAACCCTTTCTTGATGTACCTGTAAAACAATTGAACTATTAGACAACAGAATATCCATCCCTTTTACCTTATTTACTTTTATTATATAGGATCCCGGTAGTACAGTCGGGTTCGTTCTTGACTCACAATCGAGAATTCCAGGTTCAAATTCCGGAGGGGGGGGGGGGGGGACAGAAATGGTTGGGCGCATTTCCTATCACCTAATCCACCTGTTCACCTATCAGTAAGTTGGTACTCAGGGGTTAGCTTGTTGTGGGGTTGTATCCTGGGTGGGGTCAGGAATTTGACCTGGTGGGGGGTCCTCAATATAAGCCTAAACGTGTATGAATACACTCTGGCTTCCTGCCCCCCCCCTCCCTCCCTCCATTAAATATTATTGAATTATTACTAGAATTATAAACAAGCAGAATTAGCTAATGGTACACATGTCAATTTCTGTCATTATTTTGGCTAGTGCCAACATAAGTTATGTTAATGAGAATAAATATTTATAGTTACTTTATAACAAATCTATTTTAATTTTAAAAGCAGGAATTAATACATTTGTCATCAATACTTCTGTATTATGAAATATTCCTGCACAATATTGTTCAGATCTGTACTTTTGTTAACAATGAGCATTATGATTTTAAAGTTAACACTCGCATGAATCATAACTACTGGTGCTGTTCGGTACATTTAAGGTTTTTCTTTGAAAAGTTTTATATAACTTTTCTGTGGAAAGCCCCTTCAGCTCCCTGGAGCTATACCGGGCTGATGTGTATTTATTAGACCATGGCAACATTCAATCGATGGAGTTCTTAGCCTACCGAGGACCAACATCAAAATCTGACCCCTTCAGAGAGGCAAGAGGAGCAATGACCTAGAGACACCCCCGTGTAATTAGAAGCAGTCTATATCTACCATCTACCAGGTTAGGCACCCAGAAAGGTAGGAATTTCAAAACAAACTATAGTTGATTAAAAATTGCAAACTGAAAGCAGAACTCCCCCAATCGATAACAAGCATAACGTCACCACAGTCACAGCACTGCTGTCTGCGCAAATCCCCCCCCCCTCCCCAGGAGGGGGAACAGGGGGGGGGGGAGCCCAGACCTCCAGCACCGGCTACCCAACCCTACTTCAGAGGCTGTTGTGTTTGGTGGAGATCAATCTACTCTGGCTCCATCCTTTTGAGCAGTGCTGTGTATAGCGGTGTGTTCTTGAGTGTGGTGATGTGCGAGCCAGGAGTAACACAAGAGTACTGGTGCTGCATGCACCTAGGGCCACCTTCCCTAGGTGCTCTGTAAGTACTGCCCTTGTGGTATAGGTTTATCTATCATGTGCCGTTCGGGAGACTATCTCCGCGTGGTTCTTTTATTGCTCGGTGATTGCCCGCCCTTGAGGTCAGCTGGGGTTGTTCTTATTCCTGCAGCTTACCTCCTGACCCAGATTACGCCTCGATAATTGATCCTGCCTCTTTCGAGTTCGGTTCTTCCTTTCCTTAATGGGGTGCGTTATGAGGTTCCAGAGTTATTCTGGTTGGCAGACTGTCCTCTCCTTTTGTTCGGGGCGTGGCATATGTTCTGTTGGTTCGTGGCATATGTTCTGTTGGTTGGGCGTGGCATATGTTCTGTTGGTTGGGCGTGGCATATGTTCTGTTGGTTGGGCGTGGCATATGTTCACAATTCGAGACTCGTGGGACTCACGTGCCCCTGGCCATCTGGCTTCGGTCTTGCATTTCTATTTCCATCTTGAGCTGTCTTTGGACTGGCTTGAAGAGGACGTGGAGGTGCTCTGGGCCGATCCTGGGTCTGGTGTGTTGGTCTCAGCGGTGCGGGCGTCGGCTGCTCTGTTGAAGCTGTTTGCGCCGATCGAGCGGGAGGCGGTGCCTCTGTTCTTTACTTCTCCCCTGCCCTGCCGGCATGTGGTGCTTGCTCAATCCTTGGAACCTGCTTGGTCCCTTGCTCTTAGGTTTTCTGTGCCTTTTTGTTCTTTGTTGTTTGCTGAATCTGCAGTATCTGCAGGCAACTTCTTCTAGTTGTCATCTTATGTCGGACTTGTTGGTTCTCCAAGAGGTCCCGTGGGGGGGGGGTCTTCCCGGAAGGGTCGTGTCATAGCTCGGGGGTGTATCACCATTTGTATAGTGAGCAGGTGGCTTCATTGATGGTGTCCCACCTGCGTGCTTCATCTCGGTGGCAGTATGAAGTTTTCTGGTGGTCCTTCCGTTATTTCTTGTCCCTCCGTAGGTTTTCTTCTGTTTTGGATCGGGTTGTCTTGTCCTTCCTTTTGTGGTTGTTTCAGGACGGTCATCTTATGCCAATTACTGTCACCTCGTATCATGCACTGCTGTCGGAGCCGTTTCAGCTTGTGTTCAGGGTGGATGTTACGTCTGCTCCGTTCTGCAAGCTGTCTCAAGCATTGTTTCACCTCCGGCCTTCTCATGCGTCGCCTGAGCCATCCTGGTCGTTGGACCAGGTGCTCTCTATTCTCTCTTCTCCTTGGTTTTTTGTGGCCCCTTCGGTTCAGGATTGTTTTGCAAAGGTTCTCTTCCTGTTGGGATTGGTCTCTGTGGGTCGGGTCGGGAAGATTCATGCGTTCCTCCGGCACAAAGGTTTCTGCTCTTTTGGTCCTGGTAGTAGGTTCTTTTGCAGCCATCTCCTTTTCTGGCAAAGACTGAGACTGCTGCTTTCCAGAGGGGTCCTTGGGTTGTTGATGCTTGGTTGGTTTGGCCAGGGGTGCATTATGTGTTGTATCTGGTTGCGGCTCTTCACCGTTATCTGTGCACCATGGTTTCGGGGACTGGGGATGGGCTTTGGGTTGACTCAGTTTCCCCTTCTTCCCTGTTTCAGAGTTCGGGTCTATCCTCGTGCCTATAACGTTCATACGTTTGCTGCATTGGCTGCCGTCTTTGGTTACTTGTCTTGGGCTGACATTCAGGCATGGGGGTTTTTGGAGGTCGAACAGAGTCCTAGCCGCTCATTACCTGGTCAGTGTTACTGGCCCTAGTCGGGTATGTGTCACATTGGGTCGTCGGTTGCAGCCTTCACTTCGAGTTGAGGAGTGAGTGGTGACCGCCTCCCGGGTAAGTCCCTCTTATTTTATCTTTGGTTAAGTAGCTCCGGGGAGCCGAAGGAATTCCCTCCAGAAAACCAGCGTTGAATGTAATGAAATGCCATTTTCTGGGTAAGTCCCGGAGGGCCCCCCGGCAACATTTCCCCCCCCCCCCTCCCTCCAGGTTTGCAGTTTTTGCGAGTTTTGACATCTAGCCTCAGAACTGGGGGGTGTGATAACCGGCACAGGTGGTCTGGAGCTATGCCTTCACCCCTCCCTGGGTGGGAGAGCTGCGCAGACAGCGGATCGGTGACAGTTGTGACGTCATGCTCATATGCTCCTTTTTCAATTGGGGGAGTTCTGTCCAACAGTTTGACTTTCAGTAACTATATTTTAACCAGATAGGGTTTGTTTTGGGGTGCCTACCTTTCTGAGTGCCTGACCCAGTTGATGGCAAACATAAAATGCTTCCAACCACATGGGGGGTTTCTATAGGCCATTGTTCATCGTGCCTCTCCGAGGTGAGTTGGTTCTGGCTCATGGTCCCCTGGTAGGCCTAGAACTCCATTTGCTTTGACTGATGCCAGGGTCTAATACATTCATATCAGCTTGGATAGCTCCGGGGAGCCTTCGGGGTCTCATCCAGAAAATGGCGTTTCATTACATTCAACGCTGTTATTTTTTTTTAAAGTTATGTAAAATTATGAGTATCTACATTGATACTGATAATTTTATATAAAATATTAATTCATGAACAAAATTTTGAGTTTTGATTTATATATGAAATATTATTAAGACCATTAAATTAAAAATAATAGTTTTTATTTGGCTTTTATGAATAATTTAATATACTTGTTTAAAACCAATAAAAAATAGCCTAATGTTAAGTAAAAAGTTGCCTAAATTCAGATGTTAATCTGAAGTGAAGTCGCTTGAACATTTATTAATATAAATAATTCCACAAAAATTTTAGTTTTGTATGCAAAATATTCTTCCTAAATTGTTCAGATGTAGATATACATGATACATTTCATTAGTAATTGTAAGTTGCAATATCTTTGCCAAAATGAAACGTAGAACTGGCTTGAAGACAAATTAATTATTAAGCATTTATTAGTTATGTTAAAACAATTTTTAATTTCTGCAGGAAATCTCTACATGTTATAAATAAGATATATTTTACACTTTTTTGTTGTAGGCTTGTGTGTGTGTTTCTGTACAAGAGACTCATACCTTTGTGTTCTTTCCTTGATCCTGTCGATTTCTAAATGTCATTTTGTATATATATAACACTAGTTTTGTTAGTGTGTAAAAATATAGTGAATTTTGTATACAGTATTTTTATATTCTAGTACATATTTCAGTGTACAATTGTTTATTTTTATATGAAACTTCAAAATAGTTTTTTGGGCATGGGTAAAGCTTATTAGATTTTTTGCCACATGCTATTGAATAAAAGTTGACATTTATTAGTGTTATTCAATTTCAAGTATGTTTATTGAGATAAGCAATAAATACATCTCAAAGGGATAGAGTAGCTTAGGCTATTTCTACCCCCCTCTACTTCAAGTCCCTCAAGGGGCGCACAAATGCAGTGAGTACAAATAGACAAATAACATTACAAGAATCCCATTTAACATTGCAGGTTAATATAGTAAGTACAGCATATAATTGTTACACTCTTGGGGCAAAATTCTTGTAGCTCCTAAGTATACT